AATGGAGGTTGTAAGACAGGTCTGCCTCGGTGCAGTCTTTTCCCTTGGCATTCAGCGTAGTTGTTGCCTAGGAGGGTTTAAACAAAGGAAAGGAGTGGTTTTTCACATAATGCATAGTCCAGCAGTGGCACTGAGGATGTCCTAATTATGGAGGAGTTCAGAAGAACATTTAAGCAGGTTTGCAAGGTTTCACTGGTCCAAAAGTCCGTTGATGGCTAAAACATGGTTTGGTACAATCACTTCCACCTGGTAGATACCTGAGGAGATCATTCTCTCCCTGCCTGCTTGTACCTTCTTTGGAGAAGCACCTGTAGCTGACAAGGGTAGGATGCTGTGGTCCGAGCAGCATAGCCTACTCACGGTCTTGTCTTCTGCTTACCTACTTTACAGGAGGACTACAGTGCCGGAGTAAGGCACTATGACAAAGAGGAGTATGAGCTGGCCATTGACTTCCTGGAGCGTGCTTTGAAAGGGTACTACTCCGAGGATGAAGATTGTCAGATCATGTGTGAGGGACCACAGAGATTTGAGGAGCACGAGTACCTGGAATATAAGGCTGGCCTCTATGAAGCTATTGCAGGTGAGATCTTTTTGCACCTTTAGGATTATCACCCTTGGCTCTGCAATGCTTTTAACTATTGAGTTTTGGCTTTTGGCTGGATTTGGTGAAATGTCTTCCCTCCCATCACTGCTGCTGGTGAGTAATGCTGCAGGACACACTTGTAAGGCTAGAAGACGCAAATTCAGAAGATAGGGAGCTGGAACATCTCATTTTGATCCTGAATAGAAGCTGTGCTGGAAGAATTGCATTTCCAGATGTGTGGAGCATTTGCAGCTTTCTGCAGGAGCTGGAAAGACAGGTGCTTTGACATAAACTGCCTCGGTTTTGCCCTGCACACAGTCTCACACACCTCACTGGAATCTGGACATTGCTGGCCCCTGTTTGTATTTCCTCTGTTTTTCAGTGCATATGAAGAGAGCAGCAGAGTACTCTTGGCCATGCTCCAGATGGCTAGAAAAATTGCCAAAAAGGCTCAGCACATAGATTTCCTCCCCATCCGAAGGGATGGATTTGTCATTAGCAGAGGCCCACGTAATTATGATCTTCACTGAAATCTCTGGAGAGAATTGAACATTGCTATGTAATCTTCAGATTTGCATGTGTGACTCTGAGCCAGAGTGGATTAAAATGTTTCGTTCTCAGTAGAAATGAGATTACATTTAGTTAGTCAAAAGGGAAACAAGAGCAATAAATTAAGGTTTGTTTGGTGACAAATCTTATTGATCTGCTCATGGTCTTGGAGTTGCATCAGGCTCTGGAGTTTTGCTTCTTGTGTGGAAAATACTTCACTCAGATGCAGATTTTTTTTTTGGTTTTATGTAATTCTGCTGGTGTTGAGACAGGAAATCTAATTGAAACAACCAAGATGAGAAACCACCAACATACCAGATGGGAAGCTGCCTTTGTCGGGTTTATTTACCCATGCAAAAAATATGAGGAGTGTTGTAAGGGCTGACTTCAAGCCCTCCAAAAGAGCAGCCTTCAATGACAAAGGAAACCCACCTTTCTTCTTACTGAAAGCTGTTGCTCATCAAACAGGTTTTGGTCTCTGGTAAATTGTTTCTATGCTGTGCACGTCGCACACAGCCCAGCAAGCAGGTGTTTCTGTGCTGGACCCTGCAGAGTGTAGACATGGTCATGGTGTGGTGGTCCTCAATGCAGCACGTCACCTGGGGGTGAGAACAAGTCAGACAGTCACTGCAAGCACCGGTGACTTGGCTTGGCCAGATATCCCTGGGAATAAAACCCCCAGGGCCATTCAGGCACCCAAAGCAACGGCACACGGAGGAAAATCAGGTTTCCTGCTTTCCTGTAGGAAACGGGGCGGCTTGTTACAGGACAGCATAATCCAGCATTTACCCCTGGGTCCGTGGCACTCATCCCAGATGTTTCAGCGAGGGATGGGATGCTAATACACCAAGAAAAAAGAGAGTTTAAGTTTGTTCAGAATGCATTTCTTTTTTCAGTCCCAGGCTGGTTTGCTGTGCTGCTGCATGGGGTTGAAATGCTCTCACCTGTCCACCACAGGGACAGATACATTTCAGTGAATTGATTCCAGTCTATATGGCCTGTTTCTAGGGCACCTTGACAGTACCAAAAAAAAGCAGTGCTTCTCAGTGATGGATTATTCCAGGTCTAGGATGCTTAAATAGGTTTAAATTACAACAAAATTATTTATGTCCCTTTCTACTTGCTTTCCTTAATGTAATACCCTGGATGTGTATGGTAAATCAGGTAACTACTCAGACTACCTGCCCAGAGCAAATGGGGACCGTTTTGAGTTTCCACTTGATTTCATTGCAAATTCCTCAGTCTGTTTTTTTGGCAGCTCTGAGAAATGCTTTGGTAGCCGAGCACATGTTTTTTTCAAGCCTGTGTTTGTGTCTTAAGCCTTTTAGTGGTGTACAGAGACAGAGCAAGCAAAGTAGATTTGTAAGTACATTGCAGCAAAGGCTCCAAAGTGGAATCAGATGTCAGCGTTGGCTTCAAAATTGTATAGCTGATACAACGCCTATATTGTGGACTCCCACCAATTCAGAAATTTTGCTGATGGCAGATGTTTACCACGTGCTTGCCTTTCCCTGGGAGGTATCTCAGCTTTGAGAAGCAGCAGACAGGGTGATTTTGCTGCCGATATTTGCACCTTAGACCATTTAGACTAGTGATGTAGGTGCCTGGCTTGGCCGTGCTTCGGAAGCGGCACCAACCCCTCGTATCTAAGCCTCCCAGTGCCCTCCGGATCTTTCTTGCTGCAGAAAAAAAGGATTACACATGAACTGAAAGGAGGGAGTGTGGAGGTGGCTTTCGTGGGGCAGCACATGTGGCCACCCTGTTTCACATCTCCGCTTGCTCTGTGGGTGTCCTCGCCTTCGGTTTGGCTCCTGGGGTTGCAGAGCTACCTGCCACCCGCACCTCCCTGCACCCATCCAGCTGTCCTGGGCAGAGGCGGCAGCTCCCGGCGCACAAAAGAGATGCTCAGGCTCCCTCTACAGTTGACAGAAGGAGGAAGGCATTTCTCAAGGGGGACAAAAATGTGACTGCAACTCTCCATTGGCTTTGGGAAGGAGCTCTTTTAATAGATGCACAGTTGCCTGTTGGACCAGAGCAGCGTGAGTTGCATGTCCTCCAGCTGCGGAGATCTAACCTCTGTTTGCCATCGTCTCAGCACCATCACCATCCTTCTCAGTTCTGACCATCTGCTCCTTTTCTTGGCAGATCACTACATGCAAGTCCTGGCCTGCAAACACGACTGCGTCCGAGAGCTCGCCACGCGTTCGGGCCGTATCTCGCCCATCGAAAATTTTCTTCCCCTCCACTATGACTACTTGCAGTTTGCCTATTACAGAGGTAAAGGCTGGCTTTCTGTTCCGCGCTTGCTGAGTTTTGATACATTTGTAGAAGTCTGAATTGCTTCATGGGGAAATCAAGATATTTCTCCATGATGTCTGTGCTACAGTGATGTAGTGGCATGGTCTGAAAGAGTTAGGAAGCAAAGGACTTTGGAACTTATCTCTTTGAAAGTCCTTTTCCTTTCAGGTTCACTGAAATGCAGAGTTAAGTATTGTTTTAAAAGTGTTTTCAATCATCAGTCAAGTTTTAAAAGCCCAACCTTAAGCTTAAACATTATAATTCTTTAAATAAATCATGCTTGTTTAGGGTCCTTTCATTTGCCTTTGATATTAGAGTTTTGGGGATTTGTATGTTTCATATTTCCTGAGCCAATTGATAGATTTTCTAAGTTAATATATAAGACATAATGCAAGTTAGCCCAAGTTTATCCCAAGATGCCAATTTTTGCTAATTACCAATTATTTTAAGATTCACAATGAAGTTGCAGGAGTTGGCAACACTGCGAAATATCAGGAGTGGACAGTGCTATAAAATATTGCCAGTTGTATGGTCCGATATGGCATTTTAGTATGTTCTGTTACATAAAAGAAAATCTAGGCAGAATTCTGCTACCTCAGGCTTGTGCTAAGAGCTCTTTCCTGAAAAAGGCAGAAAGTGGGAGGGTCAAAATTGCTGCTCAAACCTAAAGCTTCTTCATTCATCAATGCAATGGGAAGAAAGCTGGAGGAGTCAGCAGCATTTCGTGTGTGGTATACAGGCTTTTTTATTCCTCTGCCCAATTAGAAGTTTAATGTGGTGGGTAAAACCCTCTGGAGCATTGAGAGATGCTGCACGAGAGAGGCAGTTTGCTGCCAGACAGCATCCACATCCTGCCCATCCAATTGGATCCAATTTGGATACCATCCGACCTGTGCATGACTGCCAAGAAGTCGTGTCTCTGTGCTTGAGTTTCCCTGCTAGTGAAATGGAGTGGTTAAGACAAAGTTGCATCAAGTGAGACTTGTAGAATGTCGGGCTTGTCCTTCAGCTGATGGAGAGCTCAGGCTGAGAGCTCTGAGTCTCTCTGCAGGCTCCCTCCTCGGCTCTGCCTTATCATGCTCTGCGCAAGCCCCCGGCACTGCTAGCAGGGCTGTGACCTCCCAGACCCTCCTGACCACTGTTGTGTTGCCTCCCAGTTGGTGACTACGTAAAAGCCCTGGAGTGTGCCAAGTCCTACCTCCTCTTCCACCCGGACGATGAAGATGTCTTGGAGAATGCAGGTTATTATGAGGGCCTCTTGGAAGGTACGATGGATCCAGATACCATCAAACCCAGAAAGGTGAGAGTGAGTGTCACCTACAAACCCTTGGTGGAAGGCTTTAATAAAATTATCAACTGGAAATAAAAGCAGCTTGGCAGCTTTCCCACAGTGGGACCACTTTAAAAACGGACGAGGAGATGCTGGTCTAGCTGACGATGCTAATTATCAGGGTGCAAGTCCAGAGTCACTGTTGTGGGGCAGAAGCTAGAGGTCAGGATCTTCTTTAAATGGGGACTTCAGCTTAACCAAGCCCAAGCAAGGGCAGGAAGGGCAATGACCGAATGCCTCAGCATCAACCCTCCCCTTGTTCCATGCTCGGGAGGAGACCTGGAGGAGGAATGCAGTGAAGCACTGAGCAGAGGGCAACCTCCGTTAAGAGAGGGCTCAGAAATATTTTCCCAAAGGGAGGCTGGGATGTCAGCATTACTCTCGAGTCACTGAACTTGGAGTTCAGCGGTCAGCCTGTTCTGCAAGGAGCAGCTTTGCTGTCACAGTGTTCGGCTGGGGCCAAGCAACCGAACAGTAGGGGTTCAGTCACCCAGTGGGACAGGCTTCCTCTCCAGTCTGGGCAGCCTTTATCTGCAGCCCTGGGCCTGCCTTTCTCACGATGCACAAGAGGAGAAGTTCCTCCTGTCTCATCACAGCCCTGCTGAGGCTCATTCCCCTTGCACCATAAGCAGAGGGCAGGCAGGAATTGGATTTTTCATTCCGTTGGGAATTCCTTGATTTCCAGGAAAATCAAGTGAATTAGGTAAAATGCTCAAAAAGAAAAGGGAAATGATGAAAAACAAAACAATTATTGGACAATTATTGTTTCTCCTCATAAGGTGAATCTAGGAAAAACCTGAATTTGACAAAAACATTTTATTGTTTTGTGTTTTGAATTTTCTGTAAAAAAATTGGATTTTTGCTTTGCAAAGTAATTTTCTAGGAGAAAACCCGGTGTTTTGTTTACAACTTTTTCATTCAAAAAAAGGCCCTCTGATGGACGATTTCCAGCTACCTGTGCTCTGTGGTCCCCATCCCAGTGCCCTGAGCGTGTCCCAGGCTGTGATGCTATGGGCTCCGCGTTGCAGGGGGCAATGGAGGCACGGCCCAGCCAGGGTCCCTGCTCCACCAGCTTGAACCTGCTCCCCATTCTGCACCTGCGGCTCCTCTGGCCAGCCTCTTGCTCAGACATTTAGAGGCTTTCCAGGGTGCTCAGCACTGCCTGCCAGCTGTGGACATGTATTTTAGGGACTCAGCCTTCCTGAATGACTTGCTGAAAACCTCTCCTCTGTAATGTAGTGAGTGGCTCACTCCTGTGTCCAGGGTTGTTCTAAGGCATCACCCAAGCATCCCTTGCCCCATAGGAGTCTGTGGTGTTGCATGAAAAGCAAACCCCTCTTGAAGCAGAGGTGCACTGACTTTGTCTTGTGAAAGGTACACACGCAACTACTCCCTTTCTCCTCTTCTTTTCAGGAAGCAAAAACGTTGCTGCGGCGCCATAAGCTGGAATCTCACCTCTTGCAGGTGGCTGCGGCCGGCCTTGGATACACCTACACGGAGCCGGTAAAGCCTGGGTCTGCTATGGCGAGGACCTTTAGGAGTTCACAGCTATAGGACCAGCTTCCCTCTCTCTCCTGTAAAGCAAGTCCCATGTAGGTCACTCAGGAGCTGGGTTTTGGCCCGGTTTGTTCCCTATGGGAAAAAGCTGATGGCAAAGTAAAGGAAGTAGCCGTTCCCAGAGTGAAGGAGAGACAGACACAGCCTCATCCAGCTCTCCTGATGTGGTGCCTGGCTATGTCTCGGCCACTGCCATGGTGGTGGGGTAGCACAGAGAAGGCTGGACAAGCTGGCCGCCTTCTGTACTCATCATATGATGCCACTTTGGGGTAAAATTTCCATTTGGCCACCCCAGACAATTGCCTGAAGTTGTGTGGGATGGATCCATACCAGAGAGGCTGGCTGATGTCCCTGGGTATGAGGCAGAGCAGGCAGCTCCCTGGCTGGAACATTAAATTAAGAAGCACGACCTCTCTCTTTTCCCGCAGAACTACTGGAACAGGTACGGCGCCCGCCAGGATGAGCACAGGTGAGCACCATCACCCTGCCTGCGCCCGCAGCCCCATTGGTCCCCACAGCAGGGATGTGAAGGGGACGTGCCTGTGCTGGGATACACGCCTGCCTCTTGGGGGTTGCTGCCCATCCACCCCAGCACACCATCGTGGCTGAATTAGGGCCATTTGCCCCTTACCAATACAAATGTTCCCACAAGCACCTTATTTTAGCCCAGTGCCTCAAAACCAGTGACAGTCTAGAGGGAACCTTGTCAATGAGACAAGTGGTGCTGTTCAGGTTTAGTTGGTGTCTGTGCTTTGCTGGTGGAAATCATTGTTCCCATTACCATAAAAACACGTTTTTCCATGGGACAGGGTGTGGGCTTCCACTTGTACAGTTGTGGCGTTTGTACAAACTACCAATGTGCCCATTTTTTTCATATATTGATTACCAAGGAGTGCAGAACAACACAATTCCCAGAACTGGAGACCTGTGGCCAAAGTCATGACATTCCTCTTTTCTCTTGCTCCTCAGTGTCCCATCAAGTATTAGCAGTGAACCAGAGGATGGGCCGCGGCTGTCCCTGGCAAAGAAACCCATGCCAAAACCAGATCGAGAGTTGAGGGAAGGTAAGTCTGATGAAAATGTTTCAGCAAAATCAGAAGGTTTTTCTCCTGTTGCTAGAGACTGCAGACTGCAAAGGCTCGCAGCTGAGCAATGAGGGCCAGTCCTCCCGGAGGGGGCTGATACTTTGTTTAAGAGATGGAGAAGCCTTTGATGCTGCCATAGCATTTCTTGGTCTTTGGATTCCACAAGCACTGCTCTGCTCTTAGACTTGCTTTTCCCACCTGCTGAGCTGCTCAGAGCAGAGCCCCGAGATGCAGAGCTGGGAGGCTTGTTCCTCCTCACCACGGAGAAGGTGGCACCAACAGACAGGAGATTTTCCCCCAGGTGCTTTTAAGATTAAAATGTTAGCTGTTGTCCAGGCTGCAGAAGGATGTATGCTGGAGGCATTAAGTTTTGGGAACTCTGGTCCTGATGCTTTGCTAAGTGCACTGGACCACACTGTATGTGTTGCACTGGACCACACCATTTCTGTTTGCAGGCTGGGTTGTGATTTCATGTCTTGGCTTACATCAAATCACTTGATTTTAAAGCCTGTCAACAGAGATTTCAACTGGTTTCAGCACATTCTCGACAGCCACAGAAAATAACATAACATTTTGTACTAAAGACAAGATTTTACCCATAATGATTTTGAAAAACTATATTGTGGCCAAATACCATGCTCCTCACTGCAAAACAAAGGGATCTCAAGCCGGGAGGTGTCTTGTGTCTCTAGTGGGCCTGCCTCCACAGCAGCAGCATTTAAACCTCCCTGCAATGCAACGGATGGTCATGCTTTTTGGGGAATTTCACAGCTTTCTATGGCCCAGGTTGTCTCCAGCTGCTCAGTGTCTTGTTCAGAGTATTGTTATCCTTTCTCTAGCCATATATAAAACAGGCAAATACCACATGAAGATCCTGAAGAGCTTGCTTAAACCAAGAGCTGGTGGATTTATATTTGTTGGCCTGTTTTCCTTGTATAACTAAATAATTTTAGTGTGTGTCTTTCTCTGTTTTTTCTTCTCTCTATGCTTTTTTTCTGGTTTAGTTGCAGAATGTTTTCAGGTTTACAAAGAAAACTGAAGCCATTAAAAAATAAAATGTGATTTCTGTCCATCCAGCTGCTTCCTTTCTCTGTTGTCTGTTATTCTTTCTCTCTTTTCACTTGGAAAAAGAATATAAAAGGCCGAAAGAGAAAACTAAATGCGCCTTTTCATTTTGTACTCTTCTGTACTGCTCTCCTCTCCCCCTTTCTTCCCCCTCTTTCCTCCTTTCCACTAATTCCTTCACTCGCCAAAGTCCAAAGAATTCCCCAATTTCTTTGGGGTGTTTTTCACAGAGCATACACACGGGAAACAGGTCTCGCTCTCTGCTGGTCCTTAGAGGTGGTGGGGGCGAGGAAGGCAGCCAGGAGCTCATTGCGTTGCTGGTGTGAGAGAATGGTTCAATGTTCACGGCACAGGGCAGCCCCCACTGGTTCCTGGGGAGGAACAGAACAAAGTGGGGAAGTGGTGAGTGATGCCTGCCAGGTTCATTCCTCATGTGCCTACGGCTGGGAAAGAGCAACATCTGAGCTGGAAAACTCAGCCCTCAGCTGGAGTGCGCCAGGAGTTTGGATTTCAGAGTCATGTTTCTCATCCAGCTGCATTTATAATAAATGCTATTATCGAGCAACATGAGGAACATCCCATCTTTTCTGTTTCCAAGAAACACAACTCTTCAGAAATAAAGTCGTAGGCTAGTGGCAGGGCTCTGCCCTCAGGGTTACAAGTCCTCCATAGGCCAAGGAGACCTTCCAAAAACACACAGTGTGCTTCAGCGGTCAGCAAAAATAGTACTGGTAAAAGTGGTGTAACAGAGAAGTTTCCTTGTGCCACTTGGTAAGAGGAGCTCTGTGTCCATGTTTCCTGCTTTATTGTGGCTCCGTGACAATAGATAATTTTTCCCACAATTTAGATACATTTCACCTTCCTCCTGGAAAAAACATCTGGTTTAGGTTTGTTGCCAGTTCTTGCATTCTCTGTTTTTGAAGAGATGAGGGGATGGGCTTTAGAAGGTGGTGATTTATTGGCCTCACCATGTTTTTGTGATCAGGCAGATTTGATGGGGATGGATCCAAACTTCTTATAAAGAGCTAATCTCTCTCTTCTCTTTGCCTGTTCACGCAGCACTTGGCGAGGCTCAGTTGCCTTATACCAGGCGGAGGGTCGGCAGTGTGCAAGCCCAGCCACGGTTATATTCCAATCACAGAATCACAGAATGGTAGGGGTTGGAAGGGACCTCTGTGGGTCATCTAGTCCAACCCTCCTGCCAAAGCAGGGTCACCTACAGCAGGCTGCACAGGACCTTGTCCAGGTGGGTCTTGAATATCTCCAGAGAAGGAGACTCCACAGCCTTCCTGGGCAGCCTGTGCCAGTGCTCCGTCACTCTCAGAGTGAAGAAGTTCTTCCTCATGTTCAGCTGGAACTTCCTGTGCTTCAGTTTGTGCCCATTGCCCCTTGTCCTGTTGCTGGGCACCACTGAAAAGAGTCTGGCCCCATCCTTCTGACACCCACCCTGCAGATATTTATAAGCATTTATAAGGTCCCCTCTCAGCCTTCTCTTCTTCAGGCTAAAAGGGATGCTATCTGGCACCTGCAAAACACAGCCAAGCCCCTGGCTGCTGACAGGCAGAGAGATGCAGCTCAGAATTGGTGAGTGAGGGATGGCAGGGATGGCCATGGCAGCTCCTTTGCCTCTGTGGAGGATTGTCCTCAGGGTCCTCTGGCTTGCCCACTCCCAGCCCCCCATCTTGGTGGAGCACAAGTGATGCTTGCTGCAATCTCAGCACCATGTCAGGTTTTCTACATGGGCAAAAGACAAAAAAAACGCCTTGCTGATGACAGTTGCAGAGAGTGGCTTTTCATGCCAAGCCAGCAAGATCCACAAAGAACAAATGCAATGGAAAATTAAGGCTTCCGTTGATGTTGGCTGCTGGGCAGGAGAGCCAGGTTAGCCAGTGTCTGTGTCTCTCATCATGTCCCATCAGGTTTTGGCATTTTCAGGCTGTGGTCCCTGCATTTGCAGGACAGCTAATGAGAAGGCGGAAAATGCTGATGCTCTTGCAGCAAATTGATTTTATCTGCAGGTGTTTCCTATGCTTCTGTTTCTTTTGTTGCTGATGTGAGGCCAAACTCTGCTCTCTGCTACAAAGCTCTTTCCCTGCCCGAACATGTTTTTTTTTCAGCAGGGTCATTTTGTGTCTCTCTTTCCATCAGGAGGTCCACTTCTCTACAGTGACGTGAAATTTGTCTACAACTCACAGCAGCTGAACGGCACCCAGCGAGTGCTACTGGATAACGTCATCTCAGAGGAGCAGTGCCGAGAGCTTCACAGGGTGGCCAATGTGAGCAGGCAGTGCCCTTGAGGGAGGACATGACTGCCATGTGGGCTGAGTGCCTGATGCTCTCCCCAGCATCTGGCTTGTGAGAGCTGAAGGTGTGATCAGCCCCTGGAGAGGCCCTGGGCTCATGCCTCACTCTTGAGCATGGCAACTGTTGCCAGGATGCCCATGGACAGCAGTCAGACACTTATCCCCACAACACACCCGTAACTGCAGCACAGGAGCTGCTGCTGCATCTTGGGCTATTCTTAGAAACATGCTGCAAGACAGAGCCCGTGCAGAAATAGCTCTTTGCCCCATGCTATACACAACCCCAAAGGATGCTCATCCACAAGCCACGTTGAGCCTTCTCATTCATCATTAACTGAGCTTGGGAAGTGACTGAGGGTGCCTGAATATCCACATTTGGGAGGTGGGTGGCTGTTTTTAGCATCTCAGAATGGACCATGTTCTTGGAGAACTGTGGTGCCTTCCCACCCAACTCACCTGTCCCGGTGTATGCAGTCCTGGGGGATTTGGGGAAGAGGGTGCCAGGTGCTTCCATTGCAGCTCCCCCTCTCCTGGGGAACCAGTTCACCCCTCACCCATGTTTATGCCTTTCAGGGGATCATGTTAGCTGGAGACGGTTACAGGGGCAAAACCTCCCCCCACACTCCGAACGAGAGATTTGAAGGAGCCACCGTCCTCAAAGCCCTCAAGGTACAGCTCCCTCCTCCTCCTCCTCCTCCATGCCCTTCCTCCCAGCCGATGCACAGCACTGACCCTCTCTTGCCCCCTTTCCTTGTCCAGTATGGCTATGAAGGCCGTGTCCCGCTGAAGAGCGCCCGCCTCTTCTACGACATCAGCGAGAAGGCTCGCAGGATCGTCGAGTCCTACTTCATGCTGAACTCCACACTCTACTTCTCCTACACCCACCTGGTGTGCCGTACCGCGCTCTCTGGTGAGGGCTTGGGGGCTGGCGGCAGGGCAGGGCTGGGAGGCCAGAAGGGCTTCAGTTCCCCACAGCGGGTTTTACGAGTGGGGGACCCAAGCCTGAGAGTATCTCTGGTTTGCCTGATGCTTAAACTGGCGGCCAACGGCTGGGCAAAGTCACCATCCCCACAGCAGCAAAAAGTGGGCACCGCTGTCCTGAAGAAGCTCCTTTCTGGGATGTCTCTTGGTTTTCATGTCTCCAGCTCTTCCTCTTTTCTCCTCCCTCTTCTCTTGCCTCCTCTTACTGTCCCATCTCCTTTCCACCCCACCCCCAGCTCTCCATCTGGCTTCCCCGCAGTAAGGACCAAGCAGAGCTGTGCATATCTGAGTCCTCGTTGCCATGTTGCCTTTTCTCCCCAGCCTTTCCTTTGCTCCTTTCACCCATGAACACCATCTGGACTGGGGTCAGGGCAGGCTCCCACCCCGTGATGGACCCCACAAAGCATGGCATTTCCATCTCATCCCCTTCTCCTTCCCCATTCCTTCACATGGTCCTGCCTAGGCCAGCAGGAGAGAAGGAACGACCTGAGCCACCCCATCCATGCTGACAACTGCCTCTTGGACCCTGAGGCCAATGAGTGCTGGAAGGAGCCTCCTGCCTACACCTTTCGGGATTACAGGTAGGAAGGAAGGGGGAGCTGCTCCCAAGGGCTACCAGGTGCTCTCCCTAAAGCAAGGCATCTTGCTTCACAGACCTAAAGCTGGTATATCCCCGCTGTGGCAGAAATGAGACCCAGCAGGTAGTTTCTGCTGGCAGCAAGCATTGTGGCTAAGCTTCAAACCAGAGTTTAACTAACTCTCATTGGTCTGTGATATTTTAGGGTCAGGAGATCCCAGTTGTGGCCCACGGCGATGTGTCTCTGTCAGGTGTTTTGATGCAAAACAGGAGGGTGAGAGCTGGTGGGACCCAGGGGTTGTTTTGAGAATTGTTCCTTGGCCAAGGAGAGATCTCCTAGTTCTCAACTGAAATTGTGAAATGGGGGTAGCTTGGGTGGCCCCAGTCAGCCCTAGAGTGGGGCCTCATCCCCTCTGGCAGTCCCCCACTCATGTCTCTGTGAAGCAATGTGGGAACTGTCCCCAAGGCAGGGTTCAACCTTGAGCCTTCCCCGCTGCTCACCTCACGGGGGGTCTCCTGCTTCTTCCCACAGTGCACTCCTGTACATGAATGCTGATTTCGAAGGAGGAGAGTTCATTTTCACTGAGATGGATGCCAAAACTGTGACAGTAAGTCAATGCTGTGGTCCAAACACTGTTCCTCGGCAGCCCATGCTCAGAGGCTCTGGGCTTCCCCGGGCAGCCTGTGGCTCCTACCTTGCAAACAGCCCGTACAAAATCCTGCTGGCAGAGGTGTACAGAGCTTCAGTTCCCTTCCCAGGGGCTGTGCTGAGCAGGAAACCTGCACATCAGGGGTTCTCACCACCCCTGTGCAGGCAGAGGGATGGGTGATAGTCTTCCCTGACTGGAGGACCACAGAACTCCCACCCCATCTCGTGGCCAGACATGAAGTGATGCCTTCATTTATATGCAGTGCCTGGCCCAGGTCTCTTGCTCCAGAGTGGGTCACAGCAATGGACATCAGTCTCTAAGAGGGACAGGGCTCAGGCACGAGCCCCCACCTCTGCATGGGCCCATTAGGGAAGCTGGGCATCCCCTCCGTGGTTGGACAGAGGGTTTGGGCACCATGCTGGGGCTCTGGAGTCCAGTAGATGCTGGAGGGTAGATTGCATCTACCTTGGGTGCCTGAGGGTTGATTTGATTGGCATTTCTACCCCTGAGGTCCTGCAGGATACTGCTTCTGGACTCAGGAGAGAGGAGAAGCAGGAATTTCATAGCCTGTGCCATGGTTAACCTGAACCTGCCTGGAGTTATGTTGTGGCCCTGTTTTGCTGTAGGTGGTCACCTGCAGGCTTTGCAAGGACTCCATGCCATCATCTCCTTTCTGCATGATGTCTGCACATCAGGATCAAGCCTCACACCTCCCTACTTACCCCACATGTTTTTGTGGCCATGCCCACAGCTCTGCATGTTCTCCAGAGCAGCTCACTGGGTCCTGGGGCAATGCAGAGATGCCCAGTAAGGCCCCAGGCCCTGGACCATGGTGACCCCAGACAGGGCCAGTGCGTGCAGTCATGCTGCTCCTTGACACCCTGGTGTCACCCGTTTTCCCACAGGCCTCCATCAAGCCCAAGTGTGGGCGAATGATCAGCTTTTCATCGGGTGGTGAGAACCCCCATGGCGTGAAGGCGGTCACCAAAGGCCAGCGGTGCGCCGTGGCTCTCTGGTTCACCTTGGACCCACTTTACAGAGAGTTGGTGAGTCCCCCCATTGTGATGTGAGGGGAGCTGTGGGGTACCCAGCATCCCAGAGGAACCAGGACCACCTTCAGCCTCTGGTCCCAGCACATCTATTGACCCCCATTGCACCACCCACAGCAGCATTCCCATCCACTGCACTACAGGGACATGAGCTGGTGGCCACGGGACCAAATGGTTTTCCTTGCCAGCCAGGCTCCTGGGCATCCATCACCCTGGGCCCACAGGGTGTGAGGCTGGGCTGGGGGGTGCTGATGGGGTGTGGGAGGGCTCTGTGCAGGGCTGGGCTGGCAGTTTCTGACACCTCGTGGTAACAATCTGATGAATGGTGACATCCGCCACAGCCGTCTGCTGCCGGGACCTCAAAGGCATTTTGGCAGCCTGAAGTCCGCGGGTCTGGGCACCTGGATGCCTTGGGAGATGTGGGCTGTGGTGCCTTTCACCAGGCAAGCTCCAGATTCTGTTTTAAAAGCCTGATGTACCAGCCCCTGTCTCCCTTTGGTAGCAATTCTGGTCTATAAGAATAAAAGATAAAAGACCAAGCAACTCTAAATGCAGGGGGAGAACAAAACCCTTACGCCTTTGCCTTGTGATGCAGGTGGGCTGCAAGGCTTTGGGAGAAGCTTATTTTCACTTTACTGTCTCTGCTTTTTGGCACTAGCTGAAATGCCTCCATGCTTGGTGCATGTGTGGAACGCCATCAGCCCTGCCCAGGGAGCTGGAAATCCATGTCAAGCAGAGGGGACAGGAGGAGGGTACACTGTGGCAGTGTGTGCTGGTGAAGTGTGAAAAGGGAACTGGAGTACGTCAGCTCTGCCCCAAACACTGCAGCCTCTGGAGGGAGAAGGGAATTAGGTATTGAGGTGCAAAGTGATTTGATTAGTTTTGCCCAGCAAATCCCAGCTCAAGTCCCAGGCTGTCCCTTGTCCTCTCAGCTACACTGCTCATCCTCGGATAAAGTGTTTGCTGTAGGTGCTCCCAGCTGAGTCATTGTGAATAAGCTGAGAGTAGGCACTGAAGCTCTGCTCTTATGGGTTTTTTTCCTTCCCCTCTTGCAGGAGCGAATCCAGGCAGATGAAGTGATCGCAATGTTGGACCAGGAGCATCTAGGACCCAGTGAAATGAGTATCAACCCAAAGGATGAGCTATGAACTAGGCCAAAGACTTTTTCTATTAAATATTTATTTAATATTGTTAATCTTATTAGAACCCTTCTATTTTTGTACAGAGCTGCTGTATAAATTAACAGGTTAATATGATTGTGGAGTTTCAGGTGTGCTTCTCCTGTGTTTAGCACAGCTCTTGCTGAGACCCCTCGTCCCTGTGCCAGCATTTCCTGCATCTCCTGCTGCCTCCAGCATTCCCTGTTCTTCTCTAGAACTTCTCAGGACTCATTCAGGCCCAGTGTACCCCCTTGGAGGACCTCTTTTTTTCCTTCTTCAACAAGAAATAGCTGCTTCTCTCTAGCTTCTGCTAGAGAAATGTCTCAGGTGTGCTAACAGACCAGTCTTCCTGTCCCTGCGAAGTGCTAGCTGAAGATACGGGCAGTGCTGCCATGTGGGAAACTGGAGCACAAGTCAGTCCTTTCCATCTCAGAGTCCTTCACCATTTGAAATATGTATTTTAGGGAAAAAACAAAGCAAAGCACAGGTCTTAGCAAAATGCTTATCTCTCTGTAGCCATGCAATGCTGGCGTTTGGGCATTAATTCTGAGCAGAGCATCCAGAAATCACTTGCTGGGCAGGGGCATGAGCTCTGCACAGACAAGAAAGGGTTTGATTTGTAACTGATTCTGGTGAAATAGGGTCTGTCACTCATGTTCAATCCCTGCTCTTGCTAATGGCCTGGGACGCATGAAAGAAACACCACGTCCTTTGAGCTTCCAGCCCAGTGCTGCTGCTGGTAAAACCCAAGGTTAAAAGTGGTCATTTCCAGGTCCATGTTGGAAAGCAGCTGAAAGGCTCAGGAGTGTTACAGTGCCATGCTGTTGGATGATCACGGTGCAGCTTTGTACTCCAGATGTCCTGGCTGCATCTTCCCATCCGGACAGCACAGAACCAGCGGATGTGTTCATGGTGTGGGAGCATCTGTTTGCTCAGGAGTATGTCTGACCTGATCTGAGGGTGTTGCAGTGAAAGCACATGTTGCTTATCAATCACAAGAGATTTACTATGCCAGTAACTACTGCTAAGCTAGTAAATTGTCCCACTACCACCATTAAATGAACTCCTGTGCTTGGGACCAGAGAATCCCCTACCTCAACCAGAACGAGCACTGAAGTCACAGAATTGCCCACATCCCAGGTATAGGAACAGCTTTGATTTTGACCCAACAGCTGCTTCTGCTACTAGAAAGCAGTTCCTAAAAGGCAGGTTGCAGCAATCTTTACTGTTGAATTTACTGCAAGGCTGCTGTCTCTCCAGAAGGCACTGCAACAACGTTGTCTGGAGTCTGCATCCCTGAGCAGTTTTGCTCAGCTCCCTCCTGCACTGGCACTTTCTCAGTCCTTTTCTCTTCTGCCAGCTGTGGCATTCCCAGGACTTGAAATCTGCAACAGGGAATTGTCCTTTCTCTTTGTTCATGCAGCTTGTGCGAATGCAAATCTTCCAGGCTCAGCAGCACCCTCTTCTCATTCAGTCTCTGGCTGCAAAGGCTGTAGACAGGGATGGTCCTTCTGTAGAGACCTCCTCAAAAGCTGGTCCTGGGCAAGACAGTGGAGAACTTGGCACATCTGGAAGAACAAATGCCCAGACTGTGAGGGGGGGGGGTACCGTTACTGCCTAGAAAATGATGGAAGGGTCATTTGCTGCACCTCCTCCAATGTGGCATCTGCGGGGCAGAAAGCGCTGAGGGTTTCTGAGCCACCGGTGTAGCTTGTTTCTTGGAGTTTATCTCCCTTCCTCATAGACTCTTGAAAAGATTCATTGTGCTGGCTCCCCAGAGAACTGCCCCCATGTCTCTGCCCTCAGAGAGCCTTCCCTTCTTAAATGCTACCCCTGTAAATGCTTAACCCCCCTCTTTTAAAATAATCAGAGGAAAAGCTGGAGGGAAGAAGGGGAGGGCAGCTGGAGGTCTGAAATGTCAGTTGTGTGGTTCTCTGTCTGCACCACTCTGTTGCATCCAAGGCCTGAGTCCTGCATGCTGCACCTTTAGCACGAGTTTGTGCTGCCACCGCCCTGACAGCCACATCTGCCCGAGCGCGTCCAGCCGAGCTGCCCCCTCCAAGCAGCCCGGGGCAGCCCTTGCCCTCCTGGGGGCTGCATGGACCCCACCAGCAGCTCCTCCTGCCGGGAGGCGGGGGAGGGCCTTGGCAGTC